TGATCCTAGATGTCTTCGAATCACCCGGAAGAAAAATTCGCTGAAGTTGTCTATTTTGTTTTATAGCGTAGCTTTGTATCAAATTGTCTGAGCAATTTATTTATCTCAATTTAATATTTGTCATACTTTATTTACAGAGTCAAATGACTTGTGAGTCTAAGTAGTAGATCTGTTGTTGTCATTTATCTGAGCGAATGTTTTGTCTGGGGATTTTGGAATATGGACAAAAACAAGACAGTTTCCTTTGGAAATCCAGAGGATTTTGTTTTCTTTAGTATAATTTGACCCTACAAGTCCAGGATATAAAACTATAAGTCAATTATGTTCAACTATGTCCTTGAGGTTTCAGTTTATTCCAGTAAATAATTCTAATATTGATGAATCACGAAGTGTAATGAATATGTTCTTCGTTTTGCACACGATATAACTAGATTTTGGAAGATGAGAAAGCGTTTCTGTACTACTTTAAGTAGTAAAAAAGTGTAGAGATAATATTTATGTAGTTGTATCACCATAAAAACTGACAAGCATTTGATGGAAGATTCATTGAAATTTTAGTTTAATCCGTTACATGTCCTGTTGACCTATTGCAATTAATATTTTTGATTAGAAACCGGAAACTTTTAACACGGAGAAATGGTATTTTTAAAGTTTGATTAAGTTACAATTTAATAGAAACAGTTGGACGTAAGTTTTCGTCCACTAACTTTCATAGGTATTTATTACATTGCTTGTACATCCAAAGAACATACTTTCAAGATATCACTCACATCATTTGTGCCATTCGTTCTATATTCAGATAGATGGGATCATCAACATCGCAGTCCAGAATTAGAGCACTTTGAATCGAATTAGTCGTAAAGGTCAGGAACAATTAATTTGTAAATTTCTGTCACTATAATGTTCGATAACGGTTAGTCTATTGCTTCATGATTATTTTTAGAGGATTTTCATAAGTTACTAGCATTCAATCGTAGTTGTCTGTGAAGCATCTATCGTATATTTTGGGCTGACCGAGTAAGTAATGCTTAGGTTAGGAATTTGGTACTAGATAAAAACGGCAAATCGATTGATGATATAGTAAATCTTCATCAGCTGACATGTGTTACATGTGGCCAACCACTGACAATCTCGACGGGCGATGTTGTCTGGTATAGGAGTAGGCTGGAAGTAAGCTAGAGGTGGTCAAACCAAAAATGGCACCAGTCCATGAAGGCTAATGGGTGTAGACTATATGGTTGGGGTCTGTATGAATATCGTTACCGATGGTTAGAAACTTTGAATGTCATGGCAAAGGCTTAGCTATATCCACTACTTGTCTTTCTCTATATTCTGAGCTCTTGAATTCCTCATAACTTTTCTTGTGCCTTTATCCCACTAATTTATATTCTCTTGAATAGTATCTTCGATACCTAATCTTTCCTATTATCACTGATATTGTTACTACCTCTACCGTTCTGGGATTCTGCCTGAGAATTTCATCTTGGTATACTAATGTGGTATGGCAATTTGAACCGACGTACAGACGTACCAGGTCCTACGTTGCGACTGACTGATTGAACAGATATAAAATTTTCGAAACATTTTCTCTACTAAGTGTTGATCATAGTGGTGGATTGTTGCTGATGACGAGGTTTAACTAAAACAATACGACAGTTCATTACTATTCATGAATGGAATTGAATATGAGTTTTTAAATACAAAGGCTTACAAGTTCTATGGTTTACTTAAGTTATGAGTGTGATTCAAGCAGTTCGTGACAAACATATTAAATTAGTACATCATATTCGTAATATTTGACCCATAAACCCGTACCATTTAAAGACTGAGTGATCACTACATATTTTATATCTTATATATCAATAAAACTCAATAATTATAAGAGAAGAGATATTTAAACAATGTGGATTGAATCGGTTTCCATATGATGTGTCAGTTTTTGCTACTGAAGAGTCTGATATATTAGTCAAAAAATATGAAGTTGAATTGGTTCTTAACTTATTAATACGTCATTAAATAGTCATGTTTCTACTGACATAATTTTATATGACTAATTTTCTTCATCCATTGCTTCACTATGATAGTGGAATCAAGAAGACCCAGCTAACTGTGCAACATTTGAATGTAAAAATTGTCCTGTTCGTTAGTTTTATCATGAGAGTTCGAAAAGGAATTATGGGCATTCATTTCGTTTCCTCTGAAGATTTGTCAAACGAATTCATTTGTACATGGTGCTTTCATTGGGATTCAAACGCTGTACAAATGAATTACTATACAACGGATAGTTCCCCATAGGATATGATTCTTGTAAAGGTCGTTTTATGACAATTTACACCATTAATTGACTTAAACTAGTCAATCATCGAAATTAAGAGAATACCAGAGGTTTGTTGTATCTTAGCATCCCACTTGTGAATTCATGATCTCCACAAGGATCAGACTCATAACTCTCAGCTCTCGAAGCAAATAATCAACCTCTAGACCACAGATTCAACACTCAGTGGTCCTCAAGTTTTGAAATTCTTCGGTTCAATTCCCTATTGGATCTAGAACACCACACAAGAAGGAAATAAATGTCCAGTACTTTCTGATACTCTATAGTTTTCTTCCACCAAAGCTAGTTCGTAATATTAATTATTTTTAGTGATCGTCATAAAGGGTTGTGGAGATTATTGAATTTCATTGAAATCACGAGTCGAGAAACGTTGAACAATCACTAAAAGCCTGGAAGGACTGGATGGACATTTCGTATTAGTATGGGACTCCTCGGCAGTACGTATCCACGACCTTGCAACCGGGAATAAAGCACAGAACCATCACTCTCACACACTAACACTTGACTACTAGACCAGTGAGCCAAGATTCAAGGTGCACAAATCTAATTTGAATCAGTCTAGTATTTCGATTATTTTGTACGCACTGATTAATCTGATCAGTGAATTTTCCGATTGCTTAAATCTTGGGCTCCTTATGAACGAATTTCAACCAATAACATATAATGTGAATATCTGCCGTTCAAATGTAAGTTGTGTTAAAATTGACCGAAGCACTACAAATAACTAAATCTCTATTACTTTCATTTTCATGAAACAAGATAATCTTAAATGAATCTGAATAAACCAAAAAGTACTACAGTCGTTCAGCAATATAGTAATAATAAACATAGAATGTGTGTGTAAGTACTTATATGCAGATCCATTTTGTAAACAATGAGCTTTACGTAATTGATTTTTTTACAGTTTCTTTGTGTTTAAAGCCAGATGGATTCTAATACAAATACTCTTATCTCGACTTCGATCACTGATCCTATGAAGTTTTTACATGGTATGTAAGTTTGCTTTGTCAAATGTTCTTAATTTTATTATAGTGTCGAGAATCTGGTCTATTATCTTGTTAACATTCAATATCCATAAACTATTTAGCAATGTAGCTGAACTTGGGTAAAGTTCGACTCACATCTCGGAGTGCCCAAGGGATAGTGTAACTTGTTTCACAAACTAATGTGAGCGACTAGGCAGAGATCGGGCAAGCCCCCCACTCCCTCGTGATTATGGACTACCTGAAAGGAGATTGAGGTATGGACCAGGACTGGAGGAAAAAATCGATTCTTTTTGTTGCGTAATTAAACTTTTTGCGGAAGGGTCGACTGGGTCTGGTGAGAACCAGAGACAAAGGCCATAAACTATACCATGAACAGTGTACACAGGTTGAGATTAAACGTAATTGCATGAAGGAAGTAACCATCAACTTACAACCCGACCTTTAGGTAACAAAACCAAGTCGCAAGTATACTTATGTGTATACTATGGGATGTAAAGACCTTGGTCTATACATTCACTATATGTACGTAACATATACTTTGGACTGCGCACATCTATTCCTGTGTGTACTATGGAGTGTACATATCTCTGACTTGTGCATTATATGTGTACATGTGATATTCAATTGCGACGTTATCCACGCACTATACTGGTGTATCCATGATAGCTCTCAGCACTTTTGGGTTGTTACAAAGTTTCCGAATAGGAAGTGTAATTGTACAGAAGTAAACAACTAACGTGACCGTCTGCTTCACACAAAATATAACTGAATCAAAGTATCTACTTACAAACTGTACCAAAGTAAACTGCTAACTTTTTCGTTTGTTTTACTTTCTCCAGTACTTTAATCTCACACATCTTTACAAGAGCGTTTTCTTTTCCTAAAGTGCCGGTCGGCTTTTCTACATAGTTGGGCGGGTTAAACAAACCAAAACCGTCCATAAACTATTTAACAATGCAGTTGAACTGGAAAAAGGCCTACAGGTAATCTAACAAAATGCTAATTATATTATGTTGTTCAACGTAAATGGAATATAGTAGTAAAGAACCTTTTTTAAATGATTTCCGAATTTAGTGCTACAAAACAGCAGTCCATTATGCCTTTTATAAACGATAACTGTCATCTAAAGAACACTACGTCGGAATTGCTAATTTTTTGGTTTACTTTTAATTATCAGATAGATTGGCCTTTTCATATTGCGTACCGTGTGAGAGAGAAAGAGCGTTTAGTGTATCCTGTTTCGTTTCCATCTTTGGATTTACCTGTATTAACTGATTTAAGGACATATCAATATTCATTTTCACTTTATTCTTTCGCTTCGAAATAGCAATTTGATGACCTCAGTAGGAATCGATCCCAGGAAGAACAATATATCACATAGTTGGAAACCTACCATTCACATTTGCAATTTTAGCTAATACACCGTATGACTTAACCAATGTTATGATTGAGACTTCTCTACCCTACTAGATCTTCGGGAGTTTTGTTTTTAAATTTAGTTACTAATATATACGTACATAATCATTAATTAATTATTAATAATAATAGGATTTTTGTAGTATCTTGAATTAAAGGTTCGTTTTCAACGTAATCACTTTTAATTTATAGCGAATCTTACAAAGTTACGATTATAACATAATCTCATTCATTATCCAGTTTATGGATTTAAAACAAAAAGGGAAGGTAAAAAACTTATTTTATTTAAAATAGGGTGTATATATATATATGTCTACATATTATATATAAGCGAAATAATTAAACTGTGTTAATCAAATAAATTTATGAGACAATATATAAATATACTAATTACAAGTGTGTTCGCATTTGATTTCGACTAATATTTACACTATCCGAGGATACAATAAAGAATTCATCAAATGACTGTAATTCATCTTTTGGTATATAATCTGGATTGTGAGGATCATAACCGTTTTGTTTATCTTTATGAAAGAAATCAATATTTCGCCAAACTGCTATTGCGTTCACAGTTATTAAAATAAGAAATACAATGAGCCACTAAAAGTGATAGTAAAAATAAAAAGAAGACAATCAAAACAGTTCATGCTATTAATTTGTTTAAAATATATCAATAATTTCTACAGATATTTGTATCAGAATGAGTTTTGTGGAGAATTTTAGAAATTTCACAGATTGAAATCATGAGTCAGTTGAAGCTAGACCACCATTGAAAACCTGGAAGCAGTGGACGGCCGCTTCGTCCTAGTATGGGACTCCTCAGCGGTGCGCATCCACGATCCAGCACCACGCGGGGCTCAAACCCAGGACCTGCTGGCTTCGCGCGCGAGCACTTAACCATTAGACCACTGAGCCGGCATCCAACAGTGTTAATGTCTAACTTCAACCAATCCACGAAACGGCCTTCCAGTGCTTCCAGGTTTCCAATGGTGGTCTAGCTTCAACTGACTCATGATTTTAATCTGAGATATTTGTATATTTCAAAGTTAGTTTCCATCATTAACTACTATTAAGTGAGAAATTTTTCAACAGTAGAGAGTAGTTGAAACATCATTGAAAAAACATAATACTAGATAGCTGTTTAAGCCTTAGAAATTTTAGCTTGTGTAGGAGTAAGTTGAAAGGAAACTAGGGATTGATATAGCGAAATTTGGAATCAGTTCGTGAAATCATTAACAGTTGTTCTGAACCTTGTTAGTATATACAGACTATCTACTTGGGGCCCATACGATAATAACTATCAGTGGTTAGAGATGCCGGGTGTTTTCGCTAAGAATCAGTCACGTTGGCCCAGATGCATTTATTTGTCGTGCTCTAAATCTTGGATTTCAGTATTCTGTTATATATATATTTCTTATCTTATTGAACCATATTTTAAATCTTTCATATTATTGTTTCCGCTACGTTATTTCGATTGCTTTGTTATTTATCTAATAATTTCATCTCGTCGTGCTAATATAGCATGACAACTTAGGCAAACACATATTTGCCAAAGTCTACGTTGATTATGACTGAGTAATCCTAGCAATGTGCACATATGATTTCATGCACTAGTAAACCTAACACCTTCAAGTTTTCCAACGTTTATGAGTTGGATTTCAGTGGATCACATGTCAAAATTCAATCAGTTTGTGGCAAAGCTCACTCTCAGTGATCCAACATTTTCCTTCCAAATTACCACTGGAAAGTGTGTTGCTCAAGTTATTTGGGTATTTTAAAGCATTCACAGGTTTACAATAGTTCTCACTCTTATGCTAAGTTCATGATGAAAGTTTATAATAAACACTGTCATCATTTTTAGTAAAAATTTCATTTTTAAAGAAAATTCTAAACAGAATTTCAAAACAGTATTTGTTTTACCTCAAGTAATGTAGTAGTCATCGAATCCAAAGTAAGTTGATACCATTTAGGATTAGATTTTATCAAATCATATGCCCACCAAATTATCAATCCGGTTCCGGATAAGGGTACCAAAACACTGTTGATTAGAAACAAATTAAAGGCTTCGTTATGTAAAGTTAGATTTTCAAAATAATAACTAAGTTAAGGAGTATGTTTGCATTATAATTCGAAATCCAGATGTGTTTTTATGTTCTAGTGTATATTTAAGTGAAGTGGATTTGCAAAACAATTTATGAAGTCCCTTTATTATATTATTGTAATCAACCTAAAGTTACCAATAAATATTTTCAGTTCCTATTGTATAGCAAACGTTTTATGAAAGCTTAAGATTGTGATTTAAAAATAGGAATAGCATGTTCAATGAGAAATATAGTTAAGATCGGGTTATAACACTTCGTAGTAGTTTATTATCTTGTTGTTCTCATGTTAGCACCAGAAAATACATTCTCATTTCATAGTCTTGATTTAACTTATACTATTCTGAATATGATTATCGTCAAAAACTGACATCAGCCGAGAAACCAAATATTCGGTCCTATTTGAAGACACCTTATCAATCTGCGTCTACGATCCCAAAACGCATATTTAGTTTCAAGGAGCACGATATCTTCAAATAATTGAGTTGAGATTTATTCAGTTGATTCTTAGTGTAACAAAATATCATGGTCTATAAACTTGTTGGTTCCAAGATATAGTCCTTCTGTGAATGACTTCATGGACTGATGATATTTATTCGCATAAGCATTCTCGTTATTTTATTCTATTTCAATGTTAACCACTATTTCTCCTCCATGTACGCAGTGACTAAATATACATAAAATTGAAATATGCATTTATCAACTATACTTTCGTTTGTTATAGTTTTATCACCAGTTGAAATAAGCATTAATTTATAGCGTATCTCCTTTTATCGTATGATATGTAGCTTGTTAATCTTGTTCTCAAAATGTAAATCTCTTTCTAAGCAGGTTTTTTGTTTTCAATAAACATAGGGCGGCCTGCTTGAGCATTTGGGCTACCTGTTCCTGCCATCTAGATATTTCAACAAGTTATCTATTTCTGTTTGTTTTAATATATCATCATGCTTATTAATCGAAAAGTGTACAACCTTTCGTTGTCAAAGTTACAAAAAACTCAATAAGAGAGAATGTAGTTGCTGGCAATATACAACGAAAAGAATGTACATTATTCAGATGTTCACTTAGTGAACTGCTAACATCTAATTGGCGATCACTCAATATTTATCGCCAGGACCGACCAAGAAGAAAGAAACGGAAACTTGTTGAAATACTTTACGCTGAAAATTCTATATTGTACCAAAAATAAAATATTGAATAAAGCTGATAATAATAATAACAACAAATTGTTCTTCTTATCTTCTTTTGTTATAAAACTAATCATATCTGATTCTTTCCTATGATATAAGTTAAGAAGGAAATTAGAATCAAAACATTAATTCAACGTTTTCTTAATTAAATTTAATATTTAAACGTGTTTGTTTTTAATTTATTACAGTATGATGGGATTATGACGCATCATCAAATATGAAATAATGAAAAGTATTTTGTAATTTTAAGTATTTTGATAGAATAAAAATATTTTTAAAAATGTAATTTCTATCCGATTTCTCATAATGATTGATTGTTTTAAACTTTATCACGCATATTGCTTGACAATAGATAGAAATTGATTTTATAAATATTTCACTGCATTTTTCTTTTCAAAAATTTAATAATAATATATTTTGTGATATATTCATAATTTTATAGTTGAATTCATGAATCAATTGAAATTAGATCACCATGGAAAACCTGGAAGCACTGAACGTCCGTTTCGTGGAGTTCAAACGGCTCTGTTATGAGATAGTAACTCAATGAAGACAATGGTGGACATTGGCTCAATTTCGTGGATTTGTTGAAGTTAGACATTCACACCATTGGATGCCTGTTCAGTGGTCTAGGGGTTAAACGTTCGCGCACGAGACTGATAGATCCTGGGTTTGAATTTTATGGTGCGAAATAGTGAATGCGCACTGCTGAAGAGTTCCATACTAGGACGAAACGGCCTTCCAGTGCTACCAGGTTTTCTATGGTGGTCTAGTTTCAATTGGTTCATGAATCCAACTATAAAATTACTAAAATCTCTTCAAAATTCCTATCTGATAATATATGTCATTGCTTAAATAAGAAATTTTGAATAAATGAAAGAAACAAAACACTTCCAGAGTTTAATTTACTTTAAATAATTCAGTTAAAAACATAAATAATCTAATTGATATTTCTCTGTTGAATTTCTCTCTTAAACGTTTCATTTGTCTAAATGAATTAATCTTATAGTTTTTCAAATTATTTACGACATTATATACATTAAGTTTAAGCTTACATCATTTCTCTGATAATAAATATGCTACTTTGGATATTATTTGTGTTTTATTTCAATTTGGGAATTTCGTTCATTAGTTTTTTGTTGTTGTTAGTTGTGATTGATAATAATGACAAACCTAAAATCTCATATTGCGAACCAATTTTTCTTCATTACAGATTGATGTTGATTTCAGAAAACTATACAATATTAGACAATTGTTTTGATCTAATTCCGATCTCAGTACTGTACGCTGAAAACCCTACATGAAAAGGAGCCAAATACTTATGCTGATTCAGATACGTTGAAGTATTGAACGGGAATATAATGGTCTATAGTTAAACCTGAATTTAACTCACGGCATAGTGACTGACATTTGTCATTAAAATGATAACTGCCGTTGTTTTGTTTATTAACGGCCTTCACAATATGTCACCCATACATCCTCAGTTTTTATATGAAAATGAATTGTGGGTGTCCAGTTCTCAAATTCTTAACCAGGACAATAACAGGTTCTTAACACTTCCTAACTTACTATAATTCTGAAGCTAATTAATAATTAAAAACCAATTATCGATTAGTTAAATACTCATAAACTTTATTCAGATAATTCCATACTTATGAAATGGCTCACTTGGTCACACATAGTTCTGTGAAATATTAACCACATTAATGACAGGAAAAGTTTGTGTATACTAACTTTTAATTACATAAGCTTTTTTGATATTATTAAACGTTTAACGACAGGATTATTATGACGTTTAACAAACCTTATCATAAAGACCCAAACAACTGGAAGTTTCCAATCATCGATTCCAAAATCATTAACAATGACCCTTCTGTATTTCATTGGACCATAAATTATTATTAGACCAGCCATAGATAAACCGGATAACATAAGTGCAAAACCCCAAACATTGTCCTACAAAATATCATTAATATTTAAAAACATGTGCATGATATTATTGCTAACAGTATTAGGAAGTTAATCATAGCCGACCATCATAAAAGTGCTTTTGAAGCGAAACTTAAATTATTATTTACCACTCCATATCTGCATCACTGCAGCAGAGTTAAGAGCAAGTTGGATGTAGTTTTTAATAATATAATACATTAGTAACATATTTTAGTTTGTTTTATAATCTTCTCAGCCACAGTTCTAAAATACCACTGGGGTAGATTGTAGTTTGTGTTATTAATAAGTGTTCAATCATATTGGCCATAAAAATTAGTGACCCATTTGAAGACTTGTATGTCTGTTAAGCATGCCACATTTAACAGTAATGTTGCTCACTTTGTTGTCTCACAAGTTAGACAGGATGTAATTTAAAGATGACTTTACTACTTAATATTTTTTTAAAATTTATTGCGATATGAAATTAAACCTAATCTTCTCCAAATTTCTCCACGACAATCATCTTCCAGTTTTGCCATTGTTAAAAGCGCTATTATTTTCATACCACTTTCAAGGTTATTGAAAACGTATTTATACATAAAATGTATTGGCCTGTTTTCCTTATTTTGTGTATTTAGTAAATCGTCTATTCAGTAAATGAGAATTATACTAACTGACGGCTAAGGAAGAGAATAGGAATTTATCATTGCTTACTGATTAAAACGTTTAGGTTTACAATATTTCAAACATTATGGGGAAGTGTCAAATAACGGCTTGATACATCTGATGTAATTTAGTAAAAAGGGAATAAGTTGTTTTGTCTACAACGAGATTTAACGATACAACAATGACAGTTAGTCAGAAATTAGTATTTTGTATTTTTCAACCCGAAAGTTTTTGAGATAAATATTCAAGTATCAGATTTTATCGACATTATTACTAAGTACACTCATATTCTTTAACTACTAATTTAGCGGGATTTGTTGGTGGAAGACTGACACTTTGGAAGCAAACAAAATTTACTTTCAAAGGCAGTAACTTAAACAAAAGAATAAAATCTGTTTATGGTTTTTTTGCCAATGAAAGTTATTAGAGTGAAGTGGAAGACATTTTTATAATTCACTATCTGATGATCGCTGAAAGACTTTGCCGAAATGCCCACAACCTAACTTGAAATGTATTTTATCTAAACTTGTCGTTCTGGAACTCAATTTGGAAACTGTAAGTTAAATTAAATCTTTATTGGTTAGCATATACCGGGTTGGACTCTTGAAGTGTTCTACCTGAGTCATATTTGTTTTTTGTCTAAGTCAATTGACACATAACTCTTAGCTATTAGCTTGAAACACCTCTTGTGTAGAAGGAGAAGAAAGATGATTTCATTTAAAATCTGCAGATTAGCCCCACTTATTATTTGTCAACATCATGCAGTCCCCGAAATCTCTAGGGTAGTATTCATAATCTAACAAATCCTAATGTATAAAAGTGGAACTCATGAGAAATCTTACTGATACTAGGTACATACCGTATTTGTTGAAAATATTAAGTATTTACAGAAACGGATGCGTATCTTAAATAGCTCACTACTGGAAGCGATCCGAAAAACACACATAATATACGAAAATTTGAATGATAGGCATATTACCGTAACTACAAGAACAAACACAAAATTATGAGAGGAAAATCTTTTTCAAAAAACCAAAATAATAACTGAATATAAAACTTACCTGATTTGTAAGAACATTTATGCTGATTGCAGAAGGCATACCAAATACGAGAGTGAGGAATAAACCAGCGAATGCAGCTTGTCTATGACTTACTATAATAAAGATAAAAAAATTATAGAACGAATGTTTTCTCTAAATCTATAGACAATAATCAAAGGACAGTTAGAGACAATTCGTAAGTAAATTATGGTATATAACGTTTATAAATTTAACTGATTAGGAGAAATTTTTTAAATAGACCATTTAGCTCTCAAGTAAACAAGTCGCTTTCTTTGCCAATCAGTTGATAAATGAAGGAAATGAACCTTACTAATTTGGTGATTTGAATGATCAATGGAGAGAGAGAGAGAATGTAAGACCGATTTATTAAGTAGATTTTATTCATAAGAAACAATTATTTATTTGCTATTTTCGAACGGTTTTCACGGAAATAACTAATCACTAGATTAATGGAAATTTCATTTTTTCTGAAATTTATTTTCACCAATGACAAATTTTATTGGCGAGTCATTGAGAAATTAGAAAGCACTAGAACGGGGTGTCATAATAGCAGTGCACCATCCTACACTCGATAAAGTGTATGTACACAGTATTGACAATTTCGAAACCATGTCAAAATAATTGTCCAGTAATCCAATTATATAGGTATCATCCGCTTGTAACGAATTTTGGCCAAAATTAGTTTCAGTCTTGAAGAGAAACTCGGAAATCTTTTAAAATTAGAACCTCCGTTACAGCGGGAGACATTAACATCGAGCTAGTTCGGTTGTGATTGACCCTCTGAAGAACACCTTCTTATTAATTAATTTGAGTGGTCCAAAATCTGACTTCACTAAATAATCACTGATTAGTAATAGGAAAATGTTTTTTAGTCTTTAGTGATGATTAGATTATATCAACTATGTAGATTTACAGTGTTTATCATGATTCACTATGCTTATCATCTTTAGGATTAGAGTTACGTCGCTTTATTTATACGAATCTAATTATGACTATGTGGCCATGATTTTTACCTAATTATGTTAAATGTATAATTTGAAATATTCAGATGAGATACCAAAATGAAGGGGTTTTTCAAACTTACATCCCAAGTCCTTAGCTGTTACAACTGTTAGTTGGACATGACCAATCAATGAAGTAATCCCCGCGAAGGAGAGACATAAGAAGAACAATGAACAGAGAACTCTTCCCAGACCACCAACATAGGCGAATAGGACAGGGATCCTTTAATAAATAAATAATTTGTATATTTAGTAACGTTATAATGCCTAATATTATTATTGTTATTGGAGTTCAATTTTGAAATTAATAAAATTATTTGACACTGATTAACAAACTTAGTACATTTAGAACCGATTTTTTGTATCATGTGCAATTGAATTGCTGAAAAAACAGAAATACTTACAATCAAAGATAAAACTAAACTGATAGCTCAATATGTATACAAAAATAATCGTGTATTAATTACCAGGTGAATGTGAGACCTGTGCTACCAGGTCCATTTGATTGCATTATTTTCAAGATGCCAGAACGTGTTAATGTTGGTGATGTTTGTATTAAAGTTGAGAAGACAGTTGAGAAAATTGTTAGTGCACAGAGTAAACTGGAAACATTTGGTGAAAAAATGGAATCAGTAATTAAAGCAACAGTCTTTAGAAATTAGTAAAAAAATTCAAGTTAAAAGTAATGTTTACCATTTAATAGAGTTAGTCAACAAACATTTATACAAATTATATTGAAGAAAATGGATAAAAAGCTTATCTTACAGAGTAATAAATTGATATAATCATGGTCATATTTAAGAAGATAATATGTATTTTTAGCGAATATTCATGCAAAATGTGACTGACATAAGTTGCTCTAATTCAAATGTATATAAAAGATCAATAATTACAATCAGTAGTTAAGTATTACAAGACTAGATCTTTTCTGTAGGCAGTGAAAATAGTATTGAATGCTTCATCATTAATAGTTAGTCTGGTAACTAGCTTATTAAGAAGTCCATGAATAAATCTACGAAAGTTTTGCAATTTATAAATTGCTACCTTAATTATATCGCACTTAAATTTCAACTTGTCATCAACTTACTATAATTGCTAAATGGTACTTCTATAAACTATTTGGTTTACGAAGGACAGAAATCAAATTTGTTCCCGAAACAAGTTGACTATGATACATAGTAGTACAACTTTATGATAAAATCTTCAGAATTCCTTTGGTATTATTGGTATGACTGTTTGATCATGAATATTGTACACAACTAAATTAATTTATCATGTAACATGAAATTAATAAATTTTTCTTAAAGATGATTTAAGAAATGTGAATATCCTTCAAAATAATTTGATATTCTAATTTATCATTAAAATGAGAAATTTAACTTTAGCTTACATTTCTCATTCTAATTAAACTACTTTATCATGTTATCCTTCTAAAAATCTAATATTTCAGATAAATCAATCTCAATAAACACTCTAACTAATAAAGAACATAATGGAAAAAAAAGGCTAAACTAATACTAATAGTTTTAATGTATAACTATCCATTTCCATAACAATTCTCATGTATCAGTTCATAGAGATTATATTTCATTAAAAAAACAAACAAACGGCAATTCACTGATTGTTATATAGATTTAATCAACTTGCTTGTAAGTAAAATTTCAAAATATATAACTATAGTATATATATATATATATATATATATATATATATATATATATATATATATATATATATATATATATATATGGTAATTAGATAAATAAAAATGTATTATTATTATTGATAATAATAATAATATTAATAATAAAAATAACAATAAAGCACACAAATTCCCCATATGTTACTTTTATTAGGAAATAACTAAGTTATTATAAATGTCAATCTTATTTCTAAATTTAATTAATGCACATTATTTAATAATTTCTCTTTTTTTTTTAAAAAAAAGGAATTGTAATAGAAAGTAGAATAATGCAGTTGAAAGTTTTGGTTTTTGTTGTATATTGAGTTTGATGATGCTGATGATGATGATGAGGGTGTTTTATTTTTTGGATGATCTGAAAAGAAATCATTCTATGGAAGGTTTCTTTCTTTTCTTGATGGAAATTCTATGTATGTTGTAGTTTATTTGAGATATTTTTTTGTAATGAAAAACTGCTGTTGAAGGCATCGTTCTAACATTTCTGATGTAGTACTGTGATTAATATTATTTTAAACTAACTATTGATAAGGTATTAATCTAATGCTATTTATATTAGATTGTAAACCTAACGATTCTTTTTTATTAATATTGGTGGTCTAACCTAGATTTTGAAGTGAACTAAGGTGAATTTGTGTAATAAGCGAAAATTGATTTAATGGAATAGTATAGTATTGTATTCACTCCAAAACGGAGTGAAACTTACGGCATCATAGTGATGTTATTATTATTTTTATTGGAAGACTAAATATGGTGCACGGATACGTGGAGAACCATGCAGATAACAACCAGAATAACTTCACTGGCTGATTGAACTAGGAGAAGGAGGAGGAACAGGATGCAACAACAACAACAACATAGCGTATAGAGATGAATCCAAATAAAGGAAACACTAACTGATTGAATGATAAAGTATCAAACGATTATATGATTATAATAATTGCAATGATAAACAAATCTGTTTGTCAATCAATTCGATCATATACCTTATTATTCTTCATATAATATAGAAATCGTTTTCAATCACCATTTAATCATTGTTTGCTGCATTATCCACCTGTTCAGTATATTCCTTAAGTTTATCTTCAATCCTGATTTATTTTTGCATCAGTGTTCTACTTAATCCCTACTAGTTAGGTATTTATCTCATAAATATAAGCAATGTAATTTAACAATACTTCTCACTTGACTATTTTATTTTCAAGTTATGACTGTTATCTTTTAACTACTTCAAAATATTGTAATTACTGCTACATAAGTGACTATCATCGCTGTAGTAACTTAGTTTTTCTTACTGTCTAGAGAACACTAGTACAGTTCTATGTAGAATCGGTGTCCGTTATTTTGGTTGACTACTTGTTTTTTTTCTCTTATAAATAGTTCGTATTTCACAAATTCGTGTTCATGGAATTATGTTGTTCCATTTCCATATTTTAAATCAATATAAAGCATCCGTTACTCCTTTCTAATATACTCAGGCTTAAAAGATATACAATGAAGGATATTATATGTTTATGTTTTTAAATCTCTCTTGAGTGATGATTGGTCACAAATCAAATATTTGAAAATAACAAGAGGTAAAAATGTTCCAGTTATTTTGATTTGTTACTGTTGTCCTTTGGCACTTTACATGTCTGTCCACATAACGGTATTATTGTCAATCCTTTAGTCTAGTTTGTTATCTTTCCTCCCCTCTTCTTCATGAACCATTACTTTGTTTATCATCAAAATAGGTATGTGATACAGACAAGAACTTCATTCAAATTAATTGGTAACTGTAATAACATTAATTTAACTCAAATGAGGAATGAATTACGTGATGGATTTTTAGAAATCTTCCTCTATTTTTCTCAATATGAACTGAATAGCAAGAGTGTTAACATTCGAAGATAGTCATATAGAATTGATGTTCACAATTATGACGAACTTTTTATCAGTTAATTATTTCTGTTGTTCTCTCTAACATTTTTATCAGCATTTAGCACTTAACAGTTATTCTTATTCAACCCTTCAGTATGGTTGACCTGTAACTATCCATATGCTTATATTTTATTGTTTTTTACCTTAAAATTGTAGTAATTTAATCACTGTATTCACAGCCATAGCCTTATGTGATTATCAAATCAAAACTAAATGCCTCACCTGACCATATTGTTACATAATGGAATCATGGTACCGAGGCGTACAGCACCATTTTTCCGACTAAAATATGATGAATATGAAATGAATAAAGCCATAGCTGCGCCAGTATCGAATGCGTTTTGACTAGCAGCAGCAACCCATAAACTAGGAGTAAACATACTACCTATAAAAATAAAAATTAAAAAAAAATCATTATATAAATTTCATTTACTAATTTGACGTGACCTGTTTTATGAAAACAATAGTTACAATAACATAAAATACTTATGTTATATAATTTATTGAGCTAATGTTCTAGAAAATGAACAATTATCATAGGGAAATTATATTGAAAGACTGATAGATGAACATTCTGATGATTTTTAAAATATCTAACATTATAACTTACAGTTTGTTTTTAAATTTAAAGGATACCATACTAAATAAACTTATGGTTTTATAGAAAATTTATTTGATGTATATGATAATATTGTGGTGTGTGCTACTTATATTAATATAAGTATTATATGACGCGAGTCAGGAATGTAATGTCTGGCGGCAGAAGATAGGTATGATCAAGAAAGAAAGAGCGGGAATAGAAAGCAATTAGTATGGAAATGCAAGAACAACGAAGTTCGAGACAAGTAACTCTGTAATTTTGTGCTAAATACAATTCGATTGTCCCCACCCGTGTTCTGTTCACTACAATATAACTTCTATTCAATGATAGAAGATATCGATAAGAAGTGAACTACTTTTTTCTTTCTTTGAAAGACTGTTTTATTTTATTCATGAAACAGCGCCAATTTCATGAAGTATTTTTCTTCATTTATCAAAATTCATGTGATTTATGTTGAATTGATATTGAAAGTATGATTAGAAATGATAGTTATGCTTTAAATAATAAAAGTCCATTGATAATGCTAAAAATATAGTTTAACATAATTTTATTGTCAAACAATTACACTTTAATGAGATATTGTGTAAAAATTTAACATTTTGATAATAATAAGTTAAGTAAAAGAGATTATGTTGAATACTTAATAAAGCTGATGATGTAAAATGAGTGAACTTGATCTTAAATGATGAATCAAATCACAGTCAATATAATCTCTAAAAGAATCTAATTACAAGTTTGAGTATTTTTATATAGTGTACAGGAGTCCAATCTTAGATTAAAGTACTAGTTTAGTACCAAATTATTTCAAATGATTTTCTAAGTGACATTAGTCTATGATGAAAATCCCAAACAAAAAGTATAACATATCAAACACTGACTTTTATAAAATATATTTTGAAACTAACCCCAATATGGTGTAAATAAAAATGTAATACCAACTTCTGAATATTTTCTTGTTAATGACCATCCGAATGTGAAAATTAATATACCTAATAACATAGGTACTAATACCATATTGGCTTTTTCAATCCATTTTATACCACCAAATATACATCCACCAACAATAACAACAGCTAATGTATGAGTTAATGCTGGCCAGTAAGATTCCTGTATAAAAGAACAAGTAGAAAGAGAAAAATAAAATAGTCTTTGTATGAATAAACAAAGAAATAATCATTAGTAACTTTTTTGTTGACAATCTGTATATTATTAATCATATAAATAAACTTTTCACTATTGATTACTTTTCACCCATCTTAACAACCAATTTGGATTAAGATGAAATATTTAGCTATTTTATTAACATTCGTTTAACTGAAAAGTTAAATATTATATGGGGGAAGGTGTCGATTTACTACTCCACATAAAAAAGCGAAACAGTGTAGATGATGGATAAGTGTATCAGTTGTCATTAATTGTTTTATAAATAACTTCAGTCATCCACTATATGGTACCCTATGAAGTCTCTTGCATTCACATTAATTTCACTGAAACAAGGACACCAAGAAAGCAGCTTCATTAAGCTTCAAAATTTCTCGTTAGTGTATATTCTAAACATTTCCTGTGATTAAACATCCTGATAAGTTATCAACAGCAAATTAAACTGTTTCATAGTTAATATCATGAGCTGGTTTCAATTAAATGACCACTGCAAACCAAGAATCAGTGAGCAGATGTTTCGTCCCAGGGTTGAACCCCTCATCAATAGGCGCCCACGATCCAACGTTCTGATGGCAAGCCAAGACCAGTAGTGTTCACTCATGTCGTGTGTGAACCAGTACATTGAGAGATGGTAGAGATATCAAAAATCGATTGAAGTTAATCCGGTCAATCAGTAACAAGTTGCCACACCACATTAGCACAGAGATGCAGTTGTCGATTCAAATCCCGTAGTGATAGAGGCGGTAACAGAACACGATTGGAGTTAAAAAAATTGGATACGAGCTCCGTGGTCTAGAGATACAATTTTTTAGTTCTCGATTTCTGGAGTGCATCTTGGTTATCACTGCATTTTTCAACTAAATACCATTTCATGATGTTAGCTATGCAATTTTAAAAATCACAAATTCTTCTTGTAACTAATCCATTTGTTTAACTTCAATTCAGTACTGTTAGTGCTTAGGTTTACCGTGTACTGTATAATGAAAATCTCACTTTAAACTGGACATATCGCTTGCATAATGTTACTAAGTAAGGTGGTAAGGTGAACAATTCAACTAAAAGACGAAGTGATTTGAAGTTGTTTAAGTCATATCAAGACCTTAATATTGTGTTTTAAAGCCTGTCTGAGGTTTTGCGTGCATGCAACAGACTGGTTTATATTTGGTATAAAATACCTACTTGAATCTTTATGGTTGGTAATGGCTCATAAATGATGTTCAATCTGTGATGAAAACCAAGTGTAAACTTTTATAAATCAGTAGATAAACAGATGATTTCCTTGTTTCTGAGTAAAACGCTTCGATTTACATCAAAAATCACTTATTATCAACATTATAACTCAATATTGCAAAACTACTACTGAATAAATAATTTTAAAAAGTTATAATGAAAACACTTACTTGTGCGAACTCATTAAAAATTTTAATACTTGTTTCTACATCTCTCGGTAAACTTGACAATGCACAAGATTTATAGAAATAATATAAACACCAACCAACAATGACTGAAAAGTAAGCACTAAAATTTAAAATGTAATAAAACACATTAGTGAGCATGGGCTCAAATTATTACATAAAAGTAATAAGCTACAACTAACATTTAACATGAAAGCTATATATATGAATAATAACAGAGCAATAGAATTACTGAATATTTGCCTTCTTCATTATTAAGTTCATCATTACTGTCCAATTAAGTGTGCTATTATTGGCATTTAAACGCTGTGTAGATTACAGATAATTCTTTTCATTGTTTAAAGTAAATACAACTAGAGTAGTAGTAAACTAATTCAATTATGGATAACACAATTTATTGGTTAACTATTTCTGAGCATGAAAACTAGTCTGTTTTGTATTAGATTGATAAATAAACATATCGATGATAAGAGTCAATCAAACGTTGATAATGTAACTTTGGGTGAACTCAAAGTATTTAGCTGTAAAGTTAGTAAAATATCAATTACTTATGAGAAACAATTGTCCTACAGATCACAAGCTGTAATTCAAATTTGTAACAGTTTATTTTATATTTGTAATTCGAATACACACATATACAATCCTCATTAGGATAGCTTTTGAAACTTCCAACTAAATGTAACTGAAAGTAAAATTGTGACATGAATAAAAGGAAATAAAACTACCTGTATCCAGTTTTCACTACCTGACTTTTGTTCATTTAAGATGCAGTAGTAGAGAAAGATTCATTTCTTTGAAATTCGACGACTTAGAGTATTTTTGTTGTGTAGAAATTTACTCAGAATTCTACTTACGTGATCATATAAGTTACAGCAACAATCCATCCTCCTAACCATACTAATTTATTGCCCAAAAATCTGTGAAATGCACCAAGTGGAGATGTTCGAGTAAATCGACCCAGTGTATATTCAACAATACTTAATGGTAGAGACCAAACAAATAATGACATTGCCCAAGCAATGAGAAATGTTAAACTTCCTAAAATGATTAGAAAATCAGTAACATATCCAATGATCAGTAGTGAAACATTTTAGTTGAGTAAATATTTCAATGGTACCTTATAATCGAATTGTCAAGTATATTTACTTTTTTCTAATGAATTTATTTATCAACTACATAAACAATAACTTCAATTCTCAACATAACCTTAATTTATTATTAGGTCATTGACCTCACGTTTTTTCGACTTAGTTATCATGCTTATTTGTACACTTCCATAATCTCAGTACTTAATAGAAAGAAAAAAAACGTGATACGAATGTTATGAAAAAAAAACGTAAGCATGAATTCACTTTCACAAATGATTCGCTAACTTTAGTGTACTATTATCAGTGAAATCAGTAAGTGTTTATTTCAAATTATTTGGTTTATACTAAAGTTATAGTGAACATTCCTACTGAATCAATTTTATCTAAACTGTTCTTTCTTGCTTGATATTAAATAGACATCATTCTGTATGTGAAAAAAGAAATGTTGGTCAGTAAAATTTGTATTATGCAACAGTAATACGTTCTCTGAAAAAAAATGATTAAGTGTAGTTTAAAACAATAAACTTCGAAAATAAAAATTCACCAGAATATAACCTTTAGATTGAACGATAGTCGTTTATGTACCAGATAATGAGATCGAGTGTACTATATACAAATGTGCAATAAATTGATTTATTGACGCAGTCATTTACCTTATGGATAATGTAATTAATTCTGATGGAGTCAACAGTTGGTCAGATACTTTACTTCAGTAGAATGTGGGTGTAAAATAATACCATGTCTATCACTTTTGTATAGAAGATACTTACCCTACATACTATTTAACCAGCTAACTTTTATCATCATAACAAAATATTTTAACGGGTTCTAGATATACTATGTGTTTAGTAAACTTCGTTAGACTAGACAAATCTACGGTGTCTAACACCAACAAGGTAAATCAAAGTACTGATTTTTATGATAAATTGTTTTAGTCTTCAATCAGTTATGGCCAATAGTACTCTCTGTGTAGAATTTTACAGTCAAATGATGTAATATTTAAAAAACGTTGGTTATATGTATTTAAAAGTATCAACATAGAGAACTAAAAACAGCGACTGACCTTGAGAATAACTGGCTGTAGCAATAATACGTGGAAATCGCCATATATTTCCTGTTCCTATGACACAACCCAAACAAGAAAGTAACACTCCTATTGAAGAATTAAATGTTGATAATTCAGATCTTTGTGCATCTTTAGAATGTGTTTTCAAATCTTGTTGAGACGATGGTAACTGAATAAAACATTAAATTTTAAATAGAATAAAAAATTTTTTAATGAGTACACTAAAATGCTGAACTTAATGTCACATCATTTAATGTAAAATTTATTTAGTTAAAATGGTTTAATGAAAATGAACATTGAAGGGAAATTTAAATCATAAATATACTGAATCTTTATTATAAGTCCTTATGAAAATAATTTATTTACATATTATAATATTTATATTTACCTTATCAATAGATTCATGAATTTTTCCTGAACCACACTCCACAAGATCCATATCTGACTTAAATGTTGGATCATTTAAATCAACCGATAAAGCTTTCCAAAATAAGACTCCATTTTTACATAGTATTCCACCCATTGGTGGGACGATTATACGGCTATTTTTTTTTTAAAATAAAAATTATGAACAGCTTGTGTTCACAAATCTGATTAAAGATGATTATATAGGTTTTAGACGATTAGTTTGGTCACGATCTGTGGTTTATATAAATGGACTTCTTATTTGTCAAAAATATTACAACCAGTCACATAAACACATATATGGCCATAACAAAATAATTCACCAATGAAATTCATTGTTGAAGGTCATAGTGGAAAATGTTGATCGTTAACAGACATGCGTAATATTTGAATGTCAGGAATTCAACAAAAAAAAACAACTTTTAACAGTAATATGTTTTTGTGTATTTTGTTAGACAGGAACAATCTCCCAGGCTAAGTGCTATAACAATTATTCAGATTAATTGATTTCATTGAATGGTTTAAATGAAGATTTAGAAATGTAAATAAGATTTAAAGTGACTTCTCTAAAATGTCCCTGAATATTCAACTTGTTAATACAAGTGTTCATAATAAATTGTTACTTAGTTAAGTTAAAATTTTATTGAACTTATACATTTAAAAGCTTTAACAATGAATAATTTGACCAGACATTGAAAATATTAAACCAGTCAAAACTTAGACAATTTAGCTCACAGCGTTTTATTCATCATTTAGAAATAAATTAAAAATATTATAGGGATGACTTACTTTTATCTCATGGAGATCTTAACCAAAATAAGTGTCGGTTTCTCCCTTAACATTCCTAAACTTCTTCAACTTTGCGAGAATAAACGAGTAAAATGTTTTTTTTTAATGAAATACTTGTTGATAAACCTAATGTGAATATTCTTATGTTAAACAAATCCACGGGACATCACAAACAGAATGGACAGCATAAGATTATCATATATATATATATATGCTACTTATCGTGCTGTTATATTAAAACCAAGGCCCAATCAAGTCTAGGCTGATCTCTGCGTTGATGATAACGTAATAACTGGTTACATTTTTCAAAAATGTATTTAATGTTACACTTTACTATGGATATTAGATTGTAATCTGTAATAAATATACTATTTTCCTCAACAAGTTACATACAAAATATCATTGAGAATTATACTCGATTACATCTTTGAAAAATGCTTTCAACCTATTAATCACCTTGAAAAGATATTACTCGAGGCAACCTCCTCAGCGGGCGTTATCATTGGTAATTAGACCGGTTAAAGCTATATTCTGCAACTACATGTATCATCAATAAACAATATTGTATTAGACTAGTATGGTGAGAATAGGCAGTTTCCCATATCGCTGAATGAAATTTTTCAAAAGATGTGTTAGAGGAAAGAAAATTAGATTCAAAAGTGCTTGTCAGGGTTGATGTACTGATAAAAACGACAAAATCCTTGAATTGAGAGTAAAAAATTATTTGTAGTTATTGTCAATTTCGGAATATTTTATTTGATAACATAAAATAAATTGTATACACTTAACAAGGTATGTGTTTACTCTCTGGTCGTTCGAATCTATATTCAAGTCTATTGTTACATACATTAGAAAAATTCTGAATTAAAAGATACTAGTGGCATGAAAATACTGATTTGCAGCATTGATTTTGGAATAAATAAAAACTGCGTAATAAAAGACCTCATAATATTTTAATCGAGTTCTTCGAATATCCAAATAATCGAACTCAGAATACATTAATATACAATTTCATATAACATAGAAAGAAATGGCGAACAGCATAAATATTTAGTAAAAGAATACAACGATTAGTTGTAGTTATGTATTAACTATCTAAAATTTGATTAAATTATGAAACGTGATTTATTACTTGATTGAATGCAATATATAGGTCAGCATAAGTTTTGGTGTTAAGAAACCACGTTGTGTTTCTTGGTCAGTTCGTTGATAAGTTTTAGAAAAGTTGACATTATTTGAAACCAGGTCATTCCAGAGCACTGTAGATAATTTCTAAGAATCATGTGTTCAATTAGATTTTAAATAATATTGATTTCAGATTCTTTCAAGATTGTAACCTCTTTACAAAGCATATTGAATAAGATTGCGATCTTTGAATGAGTAGAACAATCTCAAAAATCTTGTAATTAATTGAAAAATTATAGAAAACGAACCATATAGTTGCATAAGTGAACTGTGATTTCAATGAAAATCAGTTTGTCTTGAACAACGATTTGAAGATTCAGACCACTAATATTATAGTGTAATCAATTTCGCACGATAAGAAACATAAATGCTTTGTTTGTTGTAATTTACGTGTTACACTTTCCAGAAAATAGTTATTCTATAAAGTAAAACGAGTTTTTTCAATAGTGTACTTCACCCGTCACTTTCAACATAATATTTTACGATGCAGGTTTATTATACAGACTAACTATAAGACATTGAAGTAATTATAAAATATCAGTATGTCTGAGGGCTAGATTGGTTTGGGATACTACTATCAGTATGAATATGATTTCGGTTGCGATTAATCATAAAGCATATTTCCAGTTAGTGAAGAAGACCATGAATAATGTGACATTTATTAATAGATTTAGACACATCAATAGTGTATACGGCTAAAAAAAGAACGTTAGCTAATACAACTAGAGACAATTCAACTTGGAATATAGATGCCTGTGGTCCATATTGACGTTTACAATTGTGATAGATGTATTATTCATCGACAACCAGTTGTTCCACAATCCATGACCAGCTTACATGAAGTCAGGTTGGGCCTTTAGTACAGGGAAAAAAGAACAACACTTTATCATCCTTTTAGTCAGATTAATTAGGCCAGACGAGCTCTCAAACACTATGAGAAGTGATTTTCAAACAAGAGACCGTAGAAAGAGGCTTTTGTCTAAAAAATGTTCTGCTATCATGGTATTGTAGTGTTCATGTACTAACATGACTTAGCTAATGAATTATGGGGAATATAAATGTACTTCTTTACACAATCGGTAAATAAAGACTTTCTCTTGAATTCAATAATGTTGCTAGTCTAAATCCCAGAAATTTATATAGCTATACCCATATACTTCGGAACAGCATGAAGAATAGAAACAGGATATTGATGAAACATTGCTGCTTGGGAAAAAATATGACTGAAGATCGAATAGTAGATGAATTACATCAAAAAACCAATTGATCTATGTAGTAAGTAGCAAGATACTTGGAAAAATTCAAATATGAAGTAGAAAAAACAAACAACTGAAGTTTGTCTATAATAGTTCATTATAGTATTTTTAAATGTTTGTTTTTTGCTCAAATTCAATTTATCTGTGCACAATATTTTTAATTGCTCTAATCTATAAATACTTTATTAAAAAAATGTTTCTGTTCAATTTATATGTAATTGAAATGAGAAAGAGATGAACCGATTTAAGCTTGTTTTCCTTTATTGAATAGTTCATATGGTAACAATAATATTTTTCCCTTTATTACTTTGGAATTGATTTTTCTAATAATAAAGCTTGATTTCAGCGGGGTTTTTTTCTGTTGATTTGATGAATAAGGAATGATTTCAATCTGTGAAATTTTTAAAATCTCCACAAAACCCATTCTGATAATAACAATCCCCTGCTCACTAGTGACTGACTTCAGGAGACACTTCTGGAGTTCTAGTGAGAAGTCGTTACCAGTGGAGTTCAACCAGGTCTTTTGTGAGATAGGAACTCACTGAGGACAATGGTGTACGGTAGCGCAACTTCGTGGATTGGTTGAAGTTAGACATTAACACCGTTGGATGCTGGCTCAGTGGTCTAATGGTTAAGTGCTCGCGCGCGAAGCCAGTAGGTCCTGGGTTCGAGCCCCGGGTGTTGCGGGGTCGTGGATGCGCACTGCTGAGGAGTCCCATACTAGGACGAAATGGCCGTCCAGTGTTTCTAGGTTTTCAATGGTGGTCTAGCTTCAACTGACTCATGATTTCAATCTGTGGAATAAGGAATGCGTTGAAGTTAATGCTTCATATTGGATGAACTATTGTAATACTGAATACATTAATCAATTTGATGAATGATTTTCTCATGTTTAAAATCATTTTAATTTTACGATTTGATTAGATTCTTAGTTTTTAGTTAAGCCAAAATGAAATGAATGTTTATCAACATCCTATTGAATGATATAATTTCAGTAGACATTCAACTATCTGATCAATTTCTACTTTATATTAACTGTTTATTCTTAATAATAAAAAAAAAGACTTAAATTAATTCAATCTTAACAAGCTACTTGTACTTTCTTGTTGTTGACATTCAAAGTGGAATTTTGACCATTTTCTATTGGAATATATATTCTATATGAAGAGGTTGTTTTAATCATTTTGTATTTTTACTGTCTGTTTTATAAATTTTCATTGTTTAACAAATAAGATGAATATGTTAGCATTTGATCATTGGGTAAGAAAAGTAAAGTAGAGAGACATACAAACAGATAAGATAATATTGAATTTATCAATAAACATTCACTTATTTAACCTATTACTTAGAACCAAAATAGAGAAATGTAATTTAGATTAATATACTGAAGAAAAAAATTAAGGATGGATAATGACTGTCACAATAAACTAGAAATCATTGTTAGAACAGACTAGATATCTGTCTGTAATTAGTTTATTTCATAAATTACAAGTATTAACATACTACTTCCTGATATTGAAGAGAAATTCATGAACCTACGATCAGATTCGAGGAATATGTTTTCGGAAAACGTTGTTTATTATATCATCTTTTTAAGTTATTCTTTTTCATTTCATACATTATACTAAGATTTACCAGTGGGGTTATTAACTATATAGTTTAATTCTGTAGTCATTTAACTGTAGTACCATTTTTTATCTGTTAACTAGTATTTCTGACCTCATATATTCCTATATAGGAATTTATTTTCAACATAAAAATACTTATCATTATAAACTAATAGGTTTTTTTGTGTTATCTTCTTCTTGTTTTTATGATTTACTGTCCTGTTTTGCATTCACCTTTATTGAATGAGGATTGTAGAACTGTATTTATAATAACATTACTTATTTAAATTCACGGGGAATTCACGGTTGATGAAAAGCCTCAAAATAAAATGAATTCATTTTATTTATTTTAAATTACATTCAAGAGAAATGACTAATCATGAATAGAGTGGTATTTA